TAGGAGTTTGATCTCTGTAGCATTTATAGATGTTGTGGGGCTGCAGGATTGTTTTTGTTCTTAATACAACCTCTCTCTACCTCCTCCATTATTGCTGGCATGGACCAATTGGCTGGGGATGATGGGAGGTAGAGTCCAACAGCCTTAGGCTAGATCTGTGTTCTGACACTAATCTCGATGGTAGGTCTTTGCAATTTCCTGGGCAGATATATTATTATGCTAGGCCTATGTTGCTAGGTCTTGATGACTTCCTGAAGACATATGTTTTGATGTTGAGTCTCTGCTCTGACACTAGGTTGGATGGTAGCTCTTGGTGAAAGAGATAAGTTCTGATGATGGACCTGATGCTAGATACAGTTTTTACATGTACATCATCAGAACTAATTAATAAAAACAAGAGAACTCAATTGGCCCCAAATGTTAACTCGTATGATGGAAGTGACCCTCAACAAGCCCAACCATTGATGGTGGAGATCAGAAAACATTATAACTCTTCTATTGCTGAGGCTTCTCCAAAAGGACTAAAAATGTCCTCCCTCTCCAGTTTACTTTTCTCCTGAATTTATACAGTAAAATAACATTGCAAGAGCCAGGATAAATCAGATCATTACAATTCAATTACTTAATCCCTCCTCCACCCCCACAGAATCCAGTTCCAATTCCTGAATAGTGTGGTGTGGTTGGGAAAGAAACTGGGAATGAAGTTAACTTCGGCTTTGCAGTCTAATGACCGCCTCCCTCTGGAGTTTTACTATGAGAGTACTCCTAATCCTTCGACTAAAAAAAAGAGGTGAGGAACACAGAGGTGTAGGTCAATCAGACCTTTGGTTCCAAGGGTATGCTTGCACAGAAAATTGGAGAGGCAGAGATTGCTGGCATTTGCAGACTAACCTAAAGAACTCGGATGGAAAAGAAATTGCATGGGTTTTCATCTCCCGATAAAAATATACATTTTGTGCCCTCCAAGACTGAGAACAGGGGAAAACATTTGTTGGATAAATCCATGTACACCCAAGGTTTTCAAAGTGTTGTGGAGAAGAAAAATACAAGGAAATCTATTTGCACCAAACCACGTATACTAGAGTTGCAAGGATAGCCCCATCCCAGACACTGTAGGGTTGATAGGTCTCAGGGCTTGGGACTGAGTCTCAGGGCTTGAATAAACTTTCCCCAGTGTTCAGGGCAAGGTGGAGGAATTTCAGGGTGACTGCAGTGCCTTCAAAACTGTTGATATGGTTTCCTCATTCCATAGACTTACTTATCAACCACAGTTGCTCAAAATATGTTATTCAAATGGGGGGATAACAAGTTTTTAAAAAAGAAGAAAGCATGCACAGACATGGGCAGTATTCAAGGCAATGCTCTCACTCTGAGATTCCTCACCCTTGCATTTAGTAATGGAAAAAAAATTATATTAGAGCAACCAGTGGCTAGGTATTTCATTTCAAAACATCAGAGCTGTTCTGATTTGTCCCTGTTGGGTACTGAGTTGCCATCTCCTTCAGATATTTTGGACATAAGGGAGAATTTCTGGATTTACAGACTTAAGACCCTGACACAACATGACCTCACTTGGGAGGATAATACCATCATCCACTGAAGAATACTGAAAGCATGAATGATCTAGTTGACAGTGGGGGCCTTTTCATAGTACACAGCTACACATCATAGCAGTATGATACCACTGTAGCTGCCATGGTTCCATCCTATGGGATCTTGGCATTTGCAATTTAGGAAGTGATACTTAGCATTCTTAGCTAGAAAGTTTTAATACCTCCCCAAGCTACAAATTCTGGGATTCTACAGGATGCAGCCATTTCCATTAAAAGGGAATCATAGTGTCATAATAATGCAGTGTGAAAGGTTCCAGACCTTTGCATTCTACAACCCCCCAACACACACCCAAATCATGAGAGATTGATTTCAACCACACATCTCTCCGTTGTGCTGGATTCTAGCCTAACCAGAGGCTTGCTTGCTGATTTATCCTAAAATCAAAATTATACCACTGTTCAGTCCATGAACGGGGTGACGTCTAGTTCAGCCCAAGGTTGGGCAATCCAGGGTACTTACACAAAAGCTATCTTTCATGCAACAACCCAAGCAAAATGATTTGAACAAAGCTCTCCTTGCCTTTCCTCCTCATTTGTTCAACACTGAATGGAAAGACGCAGCACCTCCGGAAATCAGCACCCAAGGTCCCATGGTTACATAACCCTGAAGGCTCATTTCTGTCTGCTCACTTAATCTGAGTCTGCTTTCGCCTGCCCTTCACCAATTTCAAAGCTAAGAGGTGGATTGATTTGTGTGTCAACCATATAATATGTCAAAGACATTTTATTTTGTTTTGTTTTGTTTTTTAAAAACACAGTCTTGCCATCTGCTATCCACGGTTCAGAATATATCACAGCAAGTATGGTCTCCTGACCAACTGGTGGATCTCCTTTGCCATATGCAGGAGGGCAGAGATAAAGACAGTTGCTGTTTTCTCCACATCTTCTTCCAGGAACTCTTACATCAAGCACAGGATGTCCTGCACATTGTGGAATAGTCCAACAAATCTTAAGGCTGGTTGACTGACTGGAAGTGGGACTTGCCCAGGTAGACGTTAGAAGACTATTTTGATTGTGTCTTCCTGCATGGCAGGGGGTTGGACTGTGTGGCCCTTGCGGTTTCTTCCAACTCTACGATTCTATTATTCATTTCAGTCTAGCTGGAGAGCATATGAATGCTCCCTGGTTGTGATTCCATCCATCTTCCTTTGACAGGCCTTCCAAGATCCCAGTTACTTATGTATTTATTTATTTATTTATTTATTTATTTATTTATTTATGGAGGTTGTATCCCACTTTTCTCCCCAAATGAGATGCAAGGCAGATCCAGTGGAGTGATCATAGAATCATTAAGTTGGAAGAGACCACAAGGACCATCCATTCCAGCTCCCTGCTATACATAAGTGGATTCAATGCAGTCCAGTTATGGGAACCTTACAGGTCTTCCTACAGCAGACAAGCTCAGAGTGGGTATCATAGGATGACAGGCAAGTCATTAGATATGGGGATCCATGTCCTCTGTCACGCCAAGCGTGCAATAGTTATGATCAATATTATGGCTATTTCGATGCCCAGTTTTTCACCTGTGAGTGTTAATAGTGGTCCTTTCCTCCAAGTCGTCATCATCATTGCTAGCCCTGCCACTATAGCATGGGAGAAATTAACTTTGCATTATGCCTCATTGTTCATATCATGTGCTGCAATGTCCATGACTGTCCACTTATCAATTCATTCTATCAAAGTAGTGGAGAACACAAAACAATGATTGGCCAACTTGCTGTGTGTTCACTTGTGAAACAGTTCAGTTTCTGCATTAAACTCAGTATTTTTTTAAACAAATAATTCTCACCAAAATTGGTTATATGCACATTACAAGAAAATACACATTTTATGGTCAATTATTTTGGGGCAAAATACTTGACCATGATCAAGCCTGAGATAATGTCCTTAGAAACACAAATGACTAGACTGAGGCTATCATTTGTTAAACACATCATAAGATCATATGGCCCATTAAGAAAGATGATAAGTCTGGGAAAAGCAGAAGGCAACAGGAAAAAAGGAAGACTACACTGCATATGGACTGACTTGATGAAGGAAGCCATGACCCTCAGTTTGCAAAATCTGAGATCAGTTGTCCCTACCAAAAGGTAGTCTGAAGAAGGAACCTCGAATGGGAGATGTTGGAAAGCAGTAGCAAGGTGTTGGAAAAGTTGTATGCTAACTTTGGCTTCTCATGCTTAGATACCCCGTTGTCTTCCTGGTGTTGACTTTTGCAGAGGAAATAGAAAGATGCAACACTTTTGTTATTTTCTTGTCTAGTTCTGCCACCTCAGTTAAATATATAAGGATAGCTGGAATATATTCAAAGCCTGGCAAAATAACTTTTCCAAGCTCTGGGGATACGCACTCGTCAGCCAGGGAGAGGCCACCAGAAATATTCCTACACTCAATGACATTGAAATAAGGCCTGCATTGACGGGATAATAGAAAGAACTATCTCCAACTGATTCTGTTATGGTGATGATAGGGGGAAAAACACACTACACTTCTGATAAGATCATACATTTGGGATCAAACAGGATGCAGGATCTGGTCCAATAAGATGAGTTAATCCATACTTGTCTGGAGAGGAGGCTACCCTTCAAATATCTCCAGTCTGGGCCAGCAGGAGATCCATATGGAGGCTAATTTGTTCCTGATTGCATTTAAGACCCCAATAAATCTGTCTGCTCCAAGTCAGCCGAAGCCCAAAGGAGGAGAAGAAGAGAGAGACAAAGATGTCTGAATTAAAACAGAGACGCTCCGGTTGATTAAGGGAAAAATCTTGCTGAATCTCAGCCCAGGCGGGGTGAGCGTGCCCCTTCTCTGATTCCAGCTTCGCTCTACCGAGTCGGCACACCCTGCCCTTCATTACCTTTTTGGCATCCCTGGCCCCAAAGACATTGGTTACAGGAGCCAGGAAAAGATTAGGTGTTCCATCAGCTGCATGGACTTTGCAAGTAGGATGGGAAAATGTGGTTTAACTACTGTATTTCTTCTACATATACATTTCTTTCTTCTTCTTTTTTTCAAAAAAAAAAAAAAAAAGGAAGATGTGTTCTTAATGCTGGCAGGTCAAGATGAAATGTTCTCAGTTGCCCTTGGGCAGCAGCAACCCAAGATGTTTTCATGCCTGAGATGAAGCATCCAAATAGCATCCCTTGTGCACACAGAGGCATGGATTGTGCTGCATGGATTGCATTTATTTGTCTACCATTGTGTGGTTTTCTTACCTAGCTTCACAAGTTGTTGTTTTGTGCCTTCAAGTCATTTCTGACTTGTGGCAACCCCAAAGTGAACCTATCCTGGGATTTTCTTGGCAAGAATTGTTCAGAGTAGGTTTGCCATGGCCTTCCCTTGAGGTTGAGAGCATATGATTTGCCCAAGGTCACCTAGTGAGTTTCATGGCCAAGCTGGGAATCAAACCCTGGTCTCCAGAGTCACAGTCCAGCACTCAAACCATTACACCACTCTAGCTTCACAGGTTGCAACTCACAAAGCTGGGGCTTCTAAGCTGATCTGGGAAGATAGGATCACTTATGATCCCACAATGTATGTCCCATCACTACTGTTTTACAGAAAAGTGTCATAATCTGTCATGAGATAAATGCACTATGCAAACCCAGATGTCCACTTTTGACACTTAGTAGGAAGAGGATATTGCCACCCCAACTAAGATGTCTGCTACCTCTCCCCTTGAAATTTTCCTTCACATCTCAAATTCCTAGCATTGCAGTAACTTAAAACTTTATTTGAGCATAAAGAAATACAGTTGAGGCCCTCGAAGCAAAGCGATAGGCAAAGTGACCAAGGGAAGGCAAACACAGCAAATAGAAGAGTTTGAAATGTCTACGGTTTTCAGCATCTCTCTCTTCAATGCTGGAAATGTGGGGATGGAATAAAAATTTCATGGGGGAGGGGGCCAAATTCATATGGGGAGGCAATGGCTTCATGGTGTAGCTACACCCTTGAGGAGATGCCTTCTTCAGAGTAAAAGCATGAAGGAGGAAGGCCTGGCCTTTACGAATACTGAGCCAAACATGAGTCGAAAAGAGCCTGTTTTATATCGTTATAAATTGGATGGGGCACAGATGAAATGGGCCTAGGAGTGCTTATTTGCATTGTTCCTTATAATAAACTGGATTTTGGCTCTGCAGAAAGACTGATAAGATTTTGGCCTCGGTCTCATAAACAGCAGATGTGGTACTCTCTGAACTAGTTTTTCCCCCTGACTCGTCTGCTACAATTTGCAGGGGTGAGTGGGTGTCATGGACCTGCTCCCTAGGGAAGGTTTCATCACCTGTTTTGACAGAAGTTCTGTCTAATCTCTTGGCTGGAGTTCACCCCAGAGTTCATTTCTTGCAAGCCTGCTGAAAAGATCACCTCAGAGGCTGGGGGCAAGTTTGGGAATCAAACTCTCCTGCACATCAACATGTCAGGGCATGGGGATATTGCTGGTTTGAGCATTGGACTCCAGTTCTGGAGACCAGGGTTGGATTCTTCAATTGGCCATGAAAACTCACTGAGTGATCTTGAGCAAGTCACACTCTCTCAGCCCTAGAAAATTCCATGACAGGGGATTTAGGGTCTTAGGGTCACTATAAATGGGGAAAAAACTTGAAGGCACACAACAATAATAACAACAAGAACAATGCTTCTCAAAGTGGTTGTTCATGGATCAAGGTCTCTCCATAAGTCATTGGTTTCCAGTTCATGGTGAGTTACCAGGAAACTATGTAAATATGACAACAGCATGGCATAAACATGGTACCAGTTTCCAGATACACAATGAGTGGGGGGAGAACACCCATTTGCCACATCAGATAGCTTGAGAAGCCCTAATCCAGAGCATGTCAACTAACAGCTGAGCAAACTGTGTTTCTCCTGATATTTGTTGGACGTCCAACAAATGTCCGAGCATTCCTCACCATCAACCATGCTGGCTAAGGTTGATGGGTGATGCAGTCAAACAACATCTGAAGGGATGTGTTTTTTCCCCCACCCCAACACAGGGCTAAATATAACTGTGTTCAGATAGGAAGAAAAAGCACATCCCTTCAGATACCGCTGGACTGGAGCATCCATCGTCTTTAGCCAGTACGGTCAGTGAAACATGGCAGGGAAGACTGAGCAAAACCAATGGGACTGAATTTAGTGGCGACTAACAAGCCCTGTTGATTTTTGTGGGTCTAGGGAAGGATCAACATTTGGTTCAACCCAGAGAAAACCCGTACAAAAGGCATAAACGTAGAGGTTTTTTTCTGCAATATGTGGCAGAGTTTGTTAATCTAGCCTTTCTACTCTTGGTTGGCAATAAGTCTACTTTGCTGAGTCAGCCCTAAGGATTGATTACTTGGCAAAAACCTACCCTCTATTCCTTTTGTATCTGGATCAGAACCAATAGGTCACAATTCCAAAACCAGGCAGTTTCTCTCTCTCATCCATAAAGACATTTACACCCCCACATTGTCACCAGGGCCAAAGGTCTCATTACTCACCCAGAATGATCTCCTACCAGTCTTGGGCTCAGTTTTGACATACAAGAAAAGCTGGCAAGCTGATTTTTTTTTTTTAAAAAAAAAAAGATTTGTTCAGAGGATGGTTTGCCTTTGCCTTCCTCTGAAATTGAGAGGGTGTGACCTGCCCAAGATCACCCAGTGATTTTCCATGGTCAAACAGGGATTCAAACCCTGGTCTCCAGAGTCGTTAGCCTAGGTTCAAATTACAACACCATGCTGGCTCTCAGTAACCATTGATTCAGGATCTATGGCTTAGCCTTCTTTGACATGATAGCTCATGGAATCAAAGAGCTAGAAGGACCCATATGTGTCCTTCAGTCCATGCAGGAATCCACAACTAAAGCACTCCTGAAAGGTACTCATTTGACCTCTGTTTAAAGACCTACCAAAAAAAAAAAAAA